GCGTCTGGACTCTGAGAGCGCCTGAAGGTAAAACTGTAAAGGTAACTGCGTAAACAGCATTCGAAAGCAGCATATCAGTCATGAGTTTCCTTCAATAACGAAATTGTACTGTTCATGGCCTGACGGAATAAGAGAGTGATGAGTGCGAGTGTTCTGGCATTTTCAATGTGTTCCCGTGATGATCGCACGCTTTCGTTGAGATATTTTAAAACAGTATTCGCCAAAAACAACTCTAGGTTGACCACCAACGTTACTGAAGTAAATTACCTGACACACACTTACTGGAACGGAAGACCTTACAGAGGACAAAACGAATCACTGAGAAGTAAATGCAAGCATGCGACAACTTGACAGCAACGAATTGTGATGTTTGTGTGTTTAAATATGCTGGTGATGAATATTGTATATGAAAATGAAATTTGTTGAATTTAAGATCAAGATCACCGATATGGATATTGAGTACCACGTGGAATGCAAACACGACTTTCTAAAACTCTACGAGGGTGCGTTAATATTTTGGCTTGCCACGAATAAAAACTCCACATATATTTGTGAAAATTTGCCTCATCTGTCTGAATCAGTGGCTCATATGATACTCGAATATCGTCATCTCATTATCTGTGAAAGATGGTTTCTTTCGCAACTGAGGAAATGAAACACATTGTGAAATGAAGCTATCAATGATATCTGAATCATACCTTTTGATCTCATTCGACCTAAGAGCATCGCGATCAGATTGGTAAGATCATTGACAAATCAAGAATTGTGGGCAATTTAAGGCGGTGGAACAGATTCGTCGCTAATACATACGTATTGTAACAATCCGGATGAAGAGCCACTTCAAGAACGATTTAAAGAAGTGAAGTCGCGAGGAAGATTCATAACACTCTACTTTTATACTGATAAAACAGTACAACGAAAAGGCTTTCGTATTGAATACTCATTTAGTGGATTTGAGAACGGTTCGTTTTAGTCTATTCTCTTGTTGAAATTATCTCTGAATGCAAGATATCACTCCATTTAGAGCTATGCTAAACAACTTTTTGCACCTCCTTGCTTCGTTGTAGAATGTACTCATGCACTGACTTCACTGTTGAGTTCAACATCGCAAGTTCGAATGGTGATGTGATGAATTGAAGCAATTGTTATGAATAGAAATGGAACTCAGTTCATTTGGATCTGCGATTGAAAATATCTCATGATCGGGAAATAGATCTGAACGCTAATTGAAACGAAGTTGTATGTGACTCCCTAGAATGACAATGCAAGTGACTNCAACAATCGGAGCAATGCGAAAAGGATTATCTTAAGGTTGGTCATCTCCTTTATACGCCCAGTTCAAAGCTATCACATGCCAGGTCTTCCATACTGTGATTACATTCTTATGAGTTTGGAATTCGTATCATCTGGAGCGATAACTCAGAATCATCCTTTCACCGATAATGAATTTTGATCTTTAAAAAAAAGATATTTGGACATGTACAATCGCACTGTGTTATAGATTAGTGAAGAACATCAGTCTCGCGCTTTGGCACCTGTCGGTGGATACTATTTCCTTTTTGATCATGAAGAGGAATTGAAGAAACTTTGTGGTTACGATGTGCCGCGTGTGTTCAGAACGGAAAGTAGTCGTGTCAAAATTGAATTCAAATCAGACGAAAAAACAACTGGCAAAGGTTTCAATATTACCTGGAGAGGAGGTAAGTCTATTAGTGCCCAAAAATGCACCAATTTCATCTTGTTCTTCTGTCGTGTTTACAACTCAATCAATATTCTGCATATTCTAAGCTAAGATCGGACTTCAAATGGATTCATTGAATTCGTTTCATCCATTCAGTTTACTCAAGTAAAATGCATAAGTGGAAATGATTAAACTCCAATTGACCTGCTCGATCATAAACCATTTCATTCTCTCGTGTAAGGAACCTCATGTGAGGGGTTTCATCGATTACCATATATTATTTTAAAGATCAGTCTTCTATTCTTTAAAACGAAACTGAACAAAAATTCAGAATGCGGAACAGTGTTCCGTCTGAATCACGGCGTCGTAACATCGCCCCATTACCCAAGTTTCTATCCGAACATGAATTCGGTGTGTAGTTATCTGATCGAACCTGAATACGAAGGAGTACCAATCATCACTCTGAAGATTCTCGATCTAGATCTCGACAGATATGCAGGTTAAATTGATCATCCTCTTTTGATATCTTGCTTCAAGATTTTAGCAACTGGATTCTCTTTCGGCCCTTGATTTCACTATCGTTCCTATCACCCATCCACTTATTTCTTCAAACGTTTCAAGCGTTATTGCAGTGATCTTAAGCTCTTGTATTTCAGTTGAATTCAATCGTGAACCATGTAATTCCGACTACCTTGAACTGCGTGATGTTTTTGCGAATCGAATTATCGACACGTTTTGCTTTGGACGTAACGATATGGGCGAACTACCACCAATCTCTGTAAAGGTGATATTTCTTGAGATAATAAGGGTGTTTAAATAAGATTTTAAATCGTTTGTATTGGAACTGATTTTGAGGATACATCAATTATTTAGATTCGGAAGCGGTCATTGATGTATGTAGCATTTGATTGCAGGGTCCAATTGGTGTTCGATTCGTGACAAACTTCTCGGTCATTGAAGACTTCGGTGATGGTAGGAAGCCGCATCGTGGTTTTAAGCTATCTTACGCATTGTCAAGTTAGTTCATTTCTTTCTGATCGTTGCAAACACTGTTCAATCACCAACGCGACGTGTTCGCAGTTCAACTAAAGTGACAAAAATGTTTACGGATGATCCATCTGTAAAACAGAACAGTTGGAAGAAGAGGAACGGTTTCAGAGTGTGGTGGTGAAATAAACCTGAAAGATGTTGATGATGGTATGTCAACCGCGATATCCTCACCAGGCTTTCCATTACAGTATCACCATGGCTTAGAGTGCATATGGAATATTAGTGCACCAGAGGGACGACTGCTTAGTGTCAAGTTAGTTCTATTCATATTATTTGTTTGGTCTTTTGATGGTTCTGACAGTTTATCTGTTGATAAGTTTACTGTTCTCATACTTCAACTCTGTAAAGTGTTTATTAATTGTAGTCAATACTCTCAGATATACTCATATGGACTTAGAAGAATCGTGGAATTGTAATTTCGACTATTTGGAGCTATTCGATGGATTCGAAATGAACAATGAGACAAGTCTGGGTCGTGTTTGTGGTGACGTTGTACCACGGAATCAAATCATGAGCACGGCGAATTTCATGATCGCTAAGTTCGTTTCAGATCGAAGTATGAGCAAAGGAGGATTTAAGATTATTCTCACCGCTACGCTTGGTTCGTTTATGCATTCGTATTAGTCATTGCGTCTTCCATTCCAGTGCACTTTATGCAATTATATTCCATTTGCTTCACTTCAGGTGGATTATCGCAAGATATATGAACCACTGTCAAAAATTGAGATTGATTCATACACCTTGAGATAATCGGCTTATTCGGATAGCTTCAAGAGGTCCTGTAGTCTATAGCTGACATTCATGAGGTTTTATTTTATCGATGCGACAACGATCAAACTATTCCAAACGATTCCTAATTGAAGGACCATCTGATGGATGCGGTGGTGAGCTGACCGCCACTGATAATTGGGCAGAGCTGAAGTCGCCAATAGATCGAGACACCGATCTTTATTATCATAATCTCCGTTGCGGCTGGACAATCAAAGCAGCTGTCGGAAAGAACATTCAATTGGAAATAACAGACTTTGAATTGGAAACACCGTCGCTCGAACTGGGCAAATGCTATGATTTCTTATCGGTGATTTCATTGATGAACAAGCTGATGCATGATTTCGATTCTTACCATCTATTGTATGACCGTTGAACTTTCATGTGACTGATGTGATTTCACGTGTTTCTCAGATATACGATGGCTATAAAACGATTGCGCCACTTCTTCTGTCGAATACGTGTCGAATAGAGGAGGATTTACCGTTGAAATTCAGAAGTTCCTATCGTGCCGTATTCGTCTACTTTGAAACCGATTCCGATAAGGCTTACAAAGGATTCACGATTCGTTATCGAGCTACAGCTCGTTAGTATTGCTTTTTCTGCTGCATTTCCCGATTGATTTTTTCTGCTCGTTGTATTTCCAATTAAAATTTATTTTGTCACGATTTGTGTCTTCATTATTTCACTGAATGCACATATTTCGCTGGAAATATGCAGTGCGAGATTTTTTTGCGACAGAGCAAGGCGGAAGATTTATTGATATACGATCACTGATTTATCAGATCCGTCGATATGTCAACACTCGATATTGTCATTTCAATATAATTAATAACGTTTCGAGCATATCGATATAACTCTGCCCAATAAATTTCAGCGACATGTGGTGGTAGAAAGATAGCTGAAAGCGACCCTGTAGAATTGACGTTTGAAAGCGAGAAAGGTTAGTGAAACCGTTATTTCATGACCAAGTGAATAAGCAAATAAAGAGGTGCAGTGTATAATCTTATGAATAATTCCTACCTGTCTCACGCAATTTCGACAAGCAGTTTCAGGTCTTACAAGAACAGCGCCAAAACATCAACGTTGTCGATGGATTATCTACTCGAAAGAGCAAATGCCTTTACGCATTCAGTTCACGTGAGTCTATTGAAATTTTGGACAAAATGTTCAGAAAACATAATGCGCTTGAAAATTTCTTGAATTCAAAATCAAGTAAAGCATTATACGCACTTAGCTATATCATATGAATACCGACGTTTTTGTGGATCATTGTGATGGTATTGTAACAAATTATTTTGATCATCTTCAGCTTGAGAAGTTTTCACTTTCAGTCAATTTTCATTTCCGTCATCGGTCGCCGATTGCACTGATGAATACTTGGAAATTCGAGACGCAGGCACACCGGCTGAATGCAGTCATCCAGCTTGTGCGGATTCGGATCGATCTCAGCAAACTTTGCAGCTCTGCGGCAATACGCTGCCACCAGATTTTGTGTCAGGAACGAGTGTCGTTCAGGTTCGGAAGTGAACTTGCCGTATTCATGAACTAACAACTTTACCAGTTGAATCATACAACACACTCTAACGAATTCTATATATTCAGATCACTACTTCAACACTACTACAAAGCGAGCATACATCGAAATTTACGCTGTTCTATCAAACGCTTGATTGTAAGTATCATGAAACAGTTGTACGGTACTCTGCACTTCCATATCAACGACCAGTTCAGGGAACTGATCGGCTAAGCATAAACCGCGTTTCTAAGCACTCAGCTTTTTTCAGCATGCAATAGAACTGTGAATGTTCGAACGCGACCAAGTGGTCGCTTAACGAGTAGCAATTATCCGAATGCATACGATCACAACAGTTCGTGTACAACAACACTAGAGGCACCGGATGGCTATCGAATTTTGGTGGTATTCAAAGATTTCCGTTTGGAGAGCGCCAGGCGAGTGTTTGGAATGAGTCGTATGCCGTCGTCTTTTCGTGAACGTTCACGGACATCAAGTATAGCTGAGCGATGGCGAAATCCATTCTCAAAGTATGCCATTCAATTTTCAGTCGTTCTCGAGCATCAATGAGATCTTCTATTCGCATATGGAAACTAGGAATTTTCAAATCCTGAAAGAGTTGTCTTCCAATTATTATCACTAACCGTGTTGAAGTTACCAATAGGGATTTCAGATATGCATTTGATCACTAGAGATCAATAGCTATTATACATTACTATAGAAATATAGGTTTGACACAATCAAGCCTAGTGTCTTCTCAAGTTTGCCCAGTAATATATTGATATTTTCACATCATTTGATTGAGCAGAATCTCTGCTTTCTAAAAATGAAAGGCCTGCCGAGAAATTTTACCTCTACGACGAGATATAACTATTTTTCTGATGCTAGAGGGGCTGGCACATTCAAGCCACATATTCTTTACTCACNTATATGTAGTCCTGTTTTTGACTGTCTCCGATGAATTTTGGTGTGAAAACTAATATAGCTGCAAGATTCATTCTTTTTCAGGTTCATTCGGCTACCAAGTGGAATGGTCCTAATGCCTCGTACGGGTTCATGTGATTTTGACTATGTTCAGGTATTTTGATCTTCTCACTTTGTTTATTTTTTCCACCACTAATTCAATCACTATCGAAAATCATTCTTTCTAAGCAAAGCACTTCAAATGGATCAGTTCCTTTAAGGCAGACTGCTTGAAGCTCTCGAGGTATATTACTGATCATTTAATCAGTGCATTTTCAGCTTATCGATTCGAATGGAAATGTGTCACAACGTTATTGCGATTTTAAACTGCCACCAACATTTTTCAGTCTTCAAAATAAAATGAGTATTTTTATGAAAACTGATAACACAGTTGCACCTGGTGGATACGATGCGTATTATTATGCTACAAGACCAACAGGTAAAATTCCTCCAACATTTTTACACATAAATAAGTTTCAGAAGTGACAGAAATATGATTTATCTGTGATATCCGGCAAAATGTATGGGAACGGTCCACCTCAACGCTTTGTAAATACCACCTCAGCTTTGTAAACAATACGACTGTTCGAAAGAACATCACGACGGCGTTTATTTTTACCAATAGGGATTTGTTTTCAGAAGATACCACTACTACAGTGTTCAATTTTGCAACGATCAGTGAAATGGAGGGTGCGCTAACAAATATTGGCTATCCCGGATATGCACCAAATCAAAGAATGATGTAAGCTGCTTGAAGCTAACTCTCAAGCTAATAATCATATCCACTCACAGCAGTATTGATTGGAATCTAGTCCTTTACCACAAACCTTTTTGAATCCATCTTCGTCATTATGATTGACTGAACCAGTTGCACCTATATGACATTCGAGAAATGATTTATTGATGGCAAATTTAGGTAAACGTTCTTTGTATAACTGAATCGCCAGTCAGATCCTCAGTAATTTGATCATCTGTTATAGATGGCATATCGATCCTCCGAGAGGACATAAATGTAAAGTGACGTTGCTCAGACTTGATTTCGGTGAGTTCAAGGATGGTTCATGTATAGCAGCCGAACGCCTTGTTTTGCATATTAATCGAGCAGGGGACTCTGCCACTCCATCAGTTTACACTTCATTGTGCAGAAATTCGGTTCGTTTTATCACACATTCTCAGTTGGTTTAGAATAACAAACATCTTATACTCTGATCACTATTATAATATATGAGTATGCATTTGCTCAGTGAGGACTGTTGTGATGTGAGGAACAACGAGTGAATTGGAACAAATCCTAAGAAATTTTGATTGTCATGAATCGTTCCGTCAAATGTGTCCATTCAATGTTTTGGCCACATTTTTTTNTTCATCGCTCAGTACCCAGTTCCTCCACGTATGCTAGGATTTTATCACTTATGATGGTGTTTTCAAATGACAAAAGGCATTGTTGCGTATCGCTGACCTGTTTACATGAAAGTTAATCAATCGTCTAAAGTCTACAACCTGATTTTAAGACAACAACACCGAATGATATCGAAATTGAACCGGGCAATTGGGTTACTGTTGAATTCAGTACAGACACTGATGCAGCCAACGATGGTGATGGCTTCCGTCTAGACTGGTCGTGTGCAAATTATTTCGTCCCTCAAGTGTGAAAGCAATCCGANAATTCAGTACAGACACTGATGCAGCCAACGATGGTGATGGCTTCCGTCTAGACTGGTCGTGTGCAAATTATTTCGTCCCCCAAGTGTGAAAGCAATCCGATTTCAATGATTATTTTTCTTCAGTTTGCTTGTTATCAATCATTTGTATTCGTACGTTGTTGTTGAATTGGTCATCATGTTTCCATTTGATAAATTTGCACGAATAAAATTGATGCGATCCCAAATAAACGACTTGTAAGTTCTTCACTGCGATGGATAGAATACTCATGAACTGGAACGATAAGGGTCACTGTCTGCAGCAGTAATTTTCACGCTCGATAGCTCCATTGCCCCTTCGATGGTCTGGCACGCCGGGTCATATTGCATGCAGAGATTGAAAATAATAGTAATAATAATAATAATAATAATAATGAATGAATTCACAAATATTCGCTCGTCTGTGGGATGATAATAATCACGGAGGTGGCGATTGAGGAAGAGATTTGTGATATTCTATTAAAACTAAAGGGGGTAAAATCTGAATCAAGGGATCAACCATTCCCCTCTCCCACGAAATTCTGAGAAGTTGGTCAGAGCGGGTGGAAAGAACACTTTAAGCACTAACTCGACAGTCACTTTTTTTCCAATTTCGAACATTTTATTCGTTTCGTGTAGCATTTCCGATGGAACATCACAAAATCCATCAGTGTGATCATCCCACATAAATACATCCTGCGATGGTGTGGCTAACGTTGCTTTCCGACATTGAAACGATCTGACCATCGAAATACGGGAAATTTTTCAAACTTTAAATGCATCTTTGTGCAGAAAAAATAAAGCGTAATTAGATTTAAAAAATGAAATATAAAAGCTGGTTGTCGTACATACTATATAAAGAAAATAAAATTGACTTCGGTTGCTATTCACTACTATTTCCATTCAACCCATTAACACAACACTGCTTTCACAGCGATCAATACTGATCAGAAACTGGAATACTGAACACTGACAAAAGCTTCGGAACAAATTCATGATTAAAACATATCATATTGAATGTTGCTTGTTGCAGGTAGGTGCATGCCATAATTTATATTTTTCTGACGTTAGAGGGGCAGGCACATTTAAACATACCGTACTCTCAGCTTTGACCA